CCACCATACCCCAGGTACTCTTGGGGAACCATAAACTGTCAAAGAGGTTCAAACTTCTCTTCAGGGACTACTGGATGCTGTAGGAGACACCAGGTACTCTTGATTTTTTTTACTTGAAAAACATAAATGCTATCAGCAAATGCTGCATTTGTAAATTTTACGTCAACTACACTGCAAAAACTGTCCATCTTACCAAGTTTTAAAATCTTATATCCAGCCAAAAAGTCTTTTTGATCTTGTTTTGAGACTGATTTACTAAACAAGAACTGATTGTGTAAGAAATCAAATTAAGTCAAAATTTTCTGCCAATGGAGTAAGAAAATTTTACTTGGTAAGATTCTTGAAATACGTAAAAATTGAGTCAAATCAAGTATTTCAAGAATCTTACCAAGTAAATTTTTCTTACTCTACTGGCAAAGACCACTTAGAGTCAAATTTTCAGGCTAACAAGACAAATAAAACATTCTGAAAACAAGATTATTATTCTTACACAATCAGTTCTTGTTTAGTAAATCAGTCTCAAAACAAGATCAAAAAGACTTTTTGGCTGGATATAAGATTTTAAAACTTGGTAAGATGGACAGTTTTTGCAGTGCAGTGGTAGGATTTTTTTTCCAAACATAATCACACTGTATACATCTAATAACAAATAACACCCAACTGAACTTAAGAAACAGAAAAATGACTAAAACTCATTCAACATTCCAGATGCTGATCAAAAGTTAGGTGTGGTAGTAGATTTTTTTTTCTGTTTGGCCTTCAGAAGAGTCGGACACTTTTTGCTCTCTCTCCCTAACCTTCCTCTTTTCCCTGTTTTGCTGCCAGAGCAAGCCCTTCTTCTACCTATCATTCGACAACAAAAGAACTATGGATCTGGTCAACTGGTCTCTGAATCCAATTGATACCATTTTTTCCACTCTGGAGCGTGGGGAGCGCAGTTGTCCCAGTGGAACTGTCGGGGCCGAGCATGGGGGTGGTATCTGATCTGCCTGGCATTGAGGACATCGAAGACGTTTTCATATTCGTATTTATGATAATCGGATTCCTGCTGATCGGCTGTGGAGGAGTTCTGGATTATTGGAAAATGAGAACGACACTGACGGTGGTCTGGGCCTGTGTGAAGCTGTCAGTGACCCTGGATGAGATCTCTCGCACAGTGAACGCACAGACTCAAACAATGGGGGCGCGGGCCAAATGTGGTCCCTGGACTTTGCTAGGACCGCAGCCCAGCAGTGTGCCCGTGAGGAGTAAGGCAACATCTGGGCGAAGTTCATACGGGAGAGGCGAGATGGTAACAAATCTGGATTACTGGCATTTTTGCAACACAGAGTGTTTCTGTTTAAAGGAGTGGAAGAAAAGTCTGATGCTTGCTCTAAAGAATTTATTCCTATCATCGGATTCCCACAGATGTGACCTTGGTCACAGCTGATAAACCTCCCTGGATGATATGTTTGGATGAAGCCTTGATCCACACCCACTCCCTCTCCCCAACCCCCACCTGTGTCTGGACCCGGTCTGGAGGCCTGGGTGGAAAAAGAGAAACTGAACTCTGGTGAACTGCGTTTGAATGATAACAACTGGTTTGGACTCTGAAGGTCTCTGATTCGGTTCAGGCACTCTGCCCTGGATGTCACCGGCTCCTCTGCACCCCTTCCCCCTTCCATATGTTTGTTCCCCCACCCCCTCCCTCCCCCTCATTAGCTGCCCTTTTGCAGAGTGTTTTTTTATTGCGATGCTCGTGTGTTTTTGTTTCGAATTAAACTCAGGATCAAAGCTCTTTTTTTAACTTATCCTTCCTATGTGTGTGTATTCTAAACTGCAAGGCAGCGCACTATGTTGCGCAGCGCCCTTGACATTCGTTCCCCCGTGTCTGTCATGTGTGTGTGTTTCTCCGGATGGATGTTCAAAACTGCAGTTTCGTTCTGCGTTGCATCTTGATGTTGTGTGTGAATGACAATAAATGTTTCTCATTCTGATGAGAATATATTTCAACACATATTCCAAGCTCTAGATATCATGCAAGATAAGCATTAACATTGTTTGTTAGTAAAATATCTTGTGAACCAAAAACCAAGAAAATTTACTCAAAGTCATGGAAACTTACATCCATGTTAACTTGGATTGTTTTTTGTTTTGATGAACAAAAAAGGCAGGTCTGTAAGAAGAAAAAAGTAACAAAAACAATCTGCAGGAAGGTGAGCTGAGCCCGATTTAGACTCCAGGGGTCTCATTTATAAAGGATTGCGTGGAAACCATACTAAAAGTGAACGTACGGCCAAAAGGCAGAAATGGCGTACGCCCAAAAAAAAAAAATTCAGATTTATAAAACCGTACATACGCATCTTTCGCTGCACCTTTCCTTTATAAATCACAGCCGCAAGTCAGAGTTTGCGCTCAAGGTCCCGCCTCAGGTTCTACCCTCTACACGCCCACACTCAGCCATAAACAGTCAATGTAAAGTACCTCATGAATGTTAAGATGTATTTAAATCAGTCAGCTGACCAATGCCAACAAAAGTGATTGGTTCAGACACGCTCCTTCGTGAGTCTGGAGGATGACAGGTGCTGACTGACAGCTGCTCACGTGAACAGAACGTCTGTAATTGACACAGATGTTCCCTCATTTTGCTTTAGAGTAATCTAACGATTTTTATAAAAAAAACCTCAGCTTCAAATTAATTTTCCATCAGAGCCTGCAGGACGATAAAAACAATAAATTAAATGTCAGATAAAATTAGAAATAAGTCCACCGCTCTTCTCCTCATCCTCTCCCCTTCCTGCCTGCTCTGTTATCCGCGGCAGACACCCCCGCCCCGCGCACGCACACGCACGCATCCCCCCGCGCGCGTGCGTGACAAACACGGACTTTAAACGTGAAGGTTTATAACATCCACACTGGCGAGGTGGATGCGCCCTGCGCGTGTATCCAAAGCTTTTGNCTCAAAACAAGATTATTATTCTTACACAATCAGTTCTTGTTTAGTAAATCAGTCTCAAATAAGATCAAAAAGACTTTTTGGCTGGATATAAGATTTTAAAACTTGGTAAGATGGACAGTTTTTGCAGTGCAGTGATAGGATTTTTTTCCCCCAAACATAATCACACTGTATACATCTAATAACAAATAACACCCAACTGAACTTAAGAAACAGAAAAATTACTAAAACTCATTAAACATTCTAGATGCTGATCTAAAATTAGGTGTGGTAGTAGTTTTTTTTTCTGCTTGGCCTTCAGAGGAGTCGGACACTTTTTACTCTCTCTCCCTAACCTTTTAAACTCTTTTCCCTATTTTGCTGCCGGAAAAAGTCTTTCTTCTACCCATCATTCGACAACAAAAGAACTATGGATCTGGTCAACTGGTCTCTGAATGCAATTGATACCATTTTTTCCACTCTGGAGCGTGGGGAGAGCAGTTGTCCCAGTGGAACTGTCGGGGTCAAGCATGGGGGTGGTATCTGATCTGCCTGGCACCTCTTTCCATTGAGGACGTCGAAGATGTTTTTTATATTCGGATTTATGATAATCGGATTCCTGCTGATCGGCTGTGGAGGAGTTCTGGATTATTGGAAATTGAGAACGACAGTGACAGCAGTCCGGGCCTGTGTGAAGCTGTCAGTGACCCTGGATGAGATCTCCTGCAAGGCAAATGCACAGACTCAAACGATGGGGGCGTGGGCCGAAGGTGTTCCCTGGACCGCAGCCCAGCAGTGTGCCCGTGAGGAGTAGGCAACATCTGGGTGAAGTTCTTATGGGAGAGGCGAGATGGTAACAAATCTGGATTATTGGCATTTTTGCAACACAGAGTGTTTCTGTTTAAAGCAGTGGAGAAAAAGTCTGTTGCTTGCTCTAAAGAATGTATTCCTATCATTGGATTCCCACAGATGTGACCTTGGTCACAGCTGATAAACCTCCCTGGATGATACGGGGAGGAAAGCATCGGTCCACCCCCTCCCATCCCTTCCCTCAACCCCCACCTGTGTCTGGACCCGGTCTTGGAGGCCGTGTTGGGTGGATACAGAGAAGGTGAGCTGAGCCAGATTTAGACTCTAGATGTTTTACTGCACTAAAATAAGTTWATGTTTTCACATATTCTTTAGACACACTAAACTTGTGTCAAAATCATTTGGTGGATTCTCAATACATTCCACCACTCAGGCTGTTGTAAAAATTCATTTTCTACATTTCCGTTCAAACCTAAACCCATCCTAACTTCCCATGAGTCACACCCACGCAAACCTCCAAACCTTTGTGATTTTACTGCTGTCACACTTTGTGTTTTTAATCAGCTACGACAGCTGTTGTTGCAGTGCCTGAACATGGCGGGACAAACTCTGTCCTATAATCTTGTTGCTGTGTAAGCTCTCACTCAACATCACGAGTGTGTTTCATCAGCTTCTCTCAAACTTCCAAATCAAATCAGCCGTCAGGTTCCAACAGTTCCTTCGTGGRAAGTAACACTCATTTCAACATGAATGAGATCATACAGGCTCAGAGTGTGCTGACACATTTATTTTTTTATGAAATTCTTGTTTGAAAAAAGWCAAACACTTTAGAAGTAAAAAGAAGAGGAAGCCTTTTTTTGGTTATTGCAGGGAAATTCAACTTCAATGTCTTCTTGATTCTGCAGTTCTAAATTTACAGGAAATCAAAGAATGGATCCAAAATAAAGGAGCTRAACTCTTCTTTACCCAGCCACCTTTGAATAAGCTGAAAGGCAAATAGGGTACTGTGAACCAAAAGCAGCCGGGCAGGTGGGGCAGGTAACCCACCAAGGAGAAGGCAAACTCTAACTGCAGAACATGGAGACAGAATGGTAAAAAATACAACTTTGGGACAAGTTTTAAGACAGAAATTGATGATAGATGTACCTGGAGTAACCTCTGTATGGTGGACATGTATCCAATCATCTACTGTTTTACAGTTTTGAAAGGATCTGCAGGTGCAACAGTTCTGCAGCCATGGTGAGAGAGTTGGTTTTGCAACTGTGTATCTCAAGCTGAGATATAATCTACATGTGGCATCTCTCAAAGGCCTAAGTGTATACAGAAGGAAATACTCATAACAGAAAGCCAAGCTGCTATTCGMGCTCTCCAAGGTCCACACTTTCCTGGCTTAAGAGTGCACTGAAGAAGTCAACCAAATGGGAGGAGATAACGGTATTGCTGTTAATACCCGGACTGGTGAAGGAAAATTTATTCAGYTTAACACTGATTTTTAATGCGCTGCACATTCTTGTTTTTATWTAGAGATCTAGGCTTTTTGATAATSTACATGCATAAATGCCTATCTTTATGTGCCACGATTAAACTGTGATTAGCTGAATGACCCGTGCTGTGGGCCATCTTTAAACAGAATGTACTTTTAAAAAGACAAGCCTTATCACCATAMAACAGACCAATATTTAATTATTTTCACATTAGAGATCAGATTGTTGGAAAAGGGTCAAGACACTAGATAGAGAAGGTCCTCCCAAGAGATGTGACATTTTGCCCCTGAAGTGTGGCTATTTCTGAAAGATGATGGATAAAGATGTGCTGTGTTCATGATTCTTTAACAAAATATCCTGAGACCAGAAAAAAGGTCTGTATTTTGGTCCAGCTGAATGTATTTTTATGGCTTTATTATTTGCAACAAAATGTTCAAATCTAAATCTGAATTTGGCTCCTGGTTCGAGGCTCTCCTTAACATGTTTCTCACACTGGCATTAAAGGTAACAAGGGAGCTTCCAAAAGCTGGCAGTCAGGTCCTTCTTCAAAGAACCAGAGCCTGCTGTAGGCACCCCAACAACACCATGCCACACCATGCTATGCCATACCACCCCACCAGTCAAGGTTGGAAACACAAATATTAGTTGCCTTTTAAGCTAAAATGAAATGTACCGTAGTTCATTTATGTTTTTTTTTCCTCCACCTGTATTGTAACTATTTACTGTACGTATGTGCTTTGCACTCTGATGTACAGTATCTCCTATCATTTTTCTGTTCTGGTTCAGACAAAAGTGATATGAGTAAACTTTACTTACAAGCATTTTGTTTTGCTGCAAATACTGGTTGAATAGTTACTTTTAACTACTAATATGCTTGACTTGATGAAACACAAAAAAAGTCAACAAAAGGCAGTTCAGTCTGGCCTCATGGTACATCATAGCTAAACTGAAGCCACTAATGTGGGCTAAAATTTCCTCATTCCATTGAAACTGGTTAGTGAGAAACATTGGGTACTTTCAAATTTACACTTCTTTTGGTTTGTTACAAATATGGCAGCTCCCATGTCGGAGCCTAACCTGGTGGAAAAGGTGGAACCAATAATATGTAACCATTTTTGTTGCAACCTGTTTTTCAAGACAACCATTATCAACTCAGGTTAGCTGTTTATTTTCTACATACTCACCCATCCAGACTTCTCCAAACTGTCCAGCTCCCAGTTTCTTTACCATCTTTATTGAGTCTTTGGAAATCTCCCAAGCATCCTTGTCCCAGGGCCTCTGTACTTTGGGTTTGAGACATGGGCGTTCTAGTTTGCGGCACAGGCCATCTGCTTTGGCTGAGAAATAAACAGAGACATCCATCTTCATAATCAATATGTACTATAYGACCTGATGCATCTCAATAATCCAGGTAGAAAAACAAAAAACTAAAAAGCMTTTTCTTTGTCAGGGCAACGAGAGCTTTCCCAAACCTAAGGCCATTAATCAGTTCCTGTGCCTGTCTGGAGTCCTTAAAGKGGGGTTGTAATAATGTTATTAACAATTAATGTCCTGATGCACTCTCAATATTACAAGTAGAAAAATCCACTTAGGCAGAGTCCTCTGGTTCGTCTTTGTTGAAACGTTTCATCTCTCATCCTAAAAATTTCTTCAGTCTAAGGAGGCAAACCTGTTGTTCCGTTCAGGACCTTCGCATATTGGATCAAGCAGTTTGTGGTGACACTGAAAACTGGTTGTTTTCTTGCAAAACAAGGACCATCACCTGAACGATCAGTAGTTAGGCTGATGGTCCTCTTTTACATGTGAACAAACAGTTTTGATTGTCATTTTGAGCTTGTTTATCCACCATGTAAATCACTGCTTATGAGGCTGAGTTTACCTACAACTCCTCACTGAAGAAGTCTCGTAGAGAGGAGACAAAACATTTTCAACAAAGAACCTGTCCAGAGGACTCACTCAACCTAAWAAATGAATGAAATAAAATAGGTAACCTTTTCAAAACAATAGTACCACAATTTTGCTTCCAAGTATGCAGGAAAAGCTCAAATAAACAGCCTTATGAGTTAGCATAAAATAAGATTTGTTGAGCTGAGCAGCATTTATAAGGCAAGCTTGAGATCAGGAGGTTGCAGGTTCAGATAGCCTGACTGACACAAAAAAATTGCGCCACTGTGGGCCTTTAACTCCCAGCTGCTCCCTGGGTACCTTAGAATCCTACTGCTTCACATAAAAAAYGGTAAAATGGACTGTACTTGTATAGTATGTATTYTATCCAACCAGGATACTCAAATCGCATGTGTGATGGGGGAAATGCAGAGAACTACTTTCCCCATTGGGGATTAATTGAATATATAAAACAGTAGATTTAAAAAAAGGGAAAAAAGCCTGGATCTTAGTAATGAATTAGTGAAACGATGATTGTGTCATGCTGTTGTACATTGAATATCTGAAGATTACTACCTATCCTTAATTGTAAATATTTCTCAAAGTCTACTAAACATGGGCAAATAAAAAAAATAATTCRTGAAGCCATTAAAATGCCAACATGGGTCATTTTGACCTAAAGGCAGCACGTTAAGGTCTTTCCTAGGATTTCAACAGGATTTCTTGTTGTTTTGCCACCTTGTACTGAATTCCCTACCTCTGAGCTCTCTGCAGAGATAGTGTTGTAAACAAGTCTACAGACCACAACACTTCTGTTAAACCTGACTACACACTTYTCTCTTCAGTCCCAGAGCCATACTCACTGTGATAATGTTTGATCATGCTGCTGATGTCGGGGAAAGAGATTTTGGGAGAGATGTAGAAGCCGCCRTTGTCCAGTTTCCTGATCTTATAATGTTTCACTGAATCCATTTTTTGGCCGTCAGTGTCTCTGATTGACAGTGAGAAGTTTCCTGATGATAAAATGATGTAGAAATCCAAATAATTAGACATGTTTGATCTAAATGWTGCGTGTCAGTATGTTTTTCTGAACTGATCTTTTTTCTTTAAACACTGTTGGGATATTTGTACCTTTTGACGTCTCGCTTTCTCTGATAAGATAAGACCCTAGTTTGTTTTCAGGTGCCAGAAGCTGCCTCTCTGCATCCTTACGGGTGATGTCTTTAAAAAACCACCTGGAATAAATTCAGGATACTTTTTTAAACATAAAATTCTACATTTTAGTGATAAGAACACAAACAAGTGAAGGTAGTGTTTCAAATAAAATAAACTAAAGCATAAATCATCGTCTTAAATTGTAACTCCACATATACTGTAAATCGTGATAAATGCTGTTATTAGAGAGCAACTACTCACTCTTCTGTTTCCATGGTGTCAACCTGAGCGACATAATTAGATGGGATGAATCCTTCTTTGCCTGATGTCAGAGACTTTGCTTTCCACCAGTCACCATGTCTAGAAATAAACATAAATACATCTTATTCTCAGGCAAAGTGTCCTGATATTCTCCTGCATCTTGCTTGATTTTGTTATTTAGAATTTGGGTATTTAATTTAGCATTAAACCTTACAGGTGTGTTTATAATATTTTTAATTAAACTATAATTATAAGTACTTTGACTCTATATGGCAAATTAGGAACTTGTAAACAACTTTGAATTTGATTCTAGTTAACTTGAGTCACTTACTCTTCTAAGACTTTCATTTTTTCTCCTTTTTTAAATCCCAAGTCATCAGGACGCGTTGTTTCATAAGAGTAAAGGCCGATTACTATTTTACCAGGTCCATTGTTTGCTAAGATAGAAAAAGAGAAAAAAAGGTCATGTTGCATTTGACAAAATACATAAGTTTACCTCTCAGGTATCATCATCAAACGTGTGTCACATTGTAAGTGCAAATACATGGTAAAGATATCTACATTTATCAAAGGTAAACTACAAAATATCTGCATTTATGTGAGATAGTGGTGAAAATAAAATTATGCCCACAAATATAGTAAGAAGCTTTATGGATGTTTTTCATAAAACACAAAATCTGTCAGTAGTACCAGTGAGGTTTTGTATTTAATACTTTTAGTCTTGTCATAGTTTTCATTCACAGAATAATGAAATTTGTGAATGTGTCCTCAGTGTGTTAGGGCTGTTTGCTTGTAATCAGATTACCTATGACAGGTGTTAGTAGGTCTGAGCTTTAAATAAGACATGCTAAATGTGGAACAATTCAGACTGCGCCCAACAATAAGGTTCAAAGTTCAACATAAGTTCATGATCTCAAAGGGCCAATTTAGTTTATAGCTATAGCTAAACATAAAGCATAAACATAAAAGCATGAGTGATCGCTAATAGGCTAACAATATCAACACTGTATATGACCAAATAAAAGACCTGTGGAATAACAGGTATTTTGCATATAATTAAATTTCAGATGATCTTTAAGATTTTTTGATTTTGAATTTTTTGGCCTGTGAATCATCAGGTTTCTAAACTCAAGGAATGATCCAGTGTTGTGTCGACAGATGCCAGACAGTTTAGGAAAAATAGGTTGTATGTTTTTGGTGGCTCATTCATCCACTCCGGATGTTATCATCCATGAAATGGATGTTATTAGGTGTTATTAGTCCCCTTGAATGGCTTCAGAATGTCCCGCCTGTAGCAGGTTCCCCCGTACCATAGAATGGCTTCCGATTGTCAGCTGGTTAGTATGACGAATAAGGCCACTATCTGGTTAATACGAGGCAATAAAAGCACTATCTGGTTAACATGAGGCATTAAAAAACTGGTTAATATGAGGCTTAAAGCCACTAAGGTTAACTTTAGAGCAAATGACATGGTTAGCGCTAAAGACTGCTCTCCAACGGATGTATATTGTGGTCTTCCAATAGGGCAATGGGTAGACTGTCAGACCAAAGAGCAGGAGATCAGGTTTCGAGACCGACACAGATACAAAAAGTTTATTACAATATATTTTGGTTATTTACACATTCATTGTCATTGATATATTAAACCACTAGGGGGCACTTTCGGGACAGTCTGAAAGCGTAGAAGGCACAGTAGGGACCCTCTGAAGCTATTGCATGGGACTGATAACACCTAATAACGTCCATTTCATGGACTGATAACATCAGAATCCCCTGGCTCATTTGGTCGAGTTGTTGCCTCTCAGAAGGTTGACTGATCGAATCCCCCGCCCAGGACCTTTCTGGGTAGAGTTGGCATGTTCTCTCCGTACGGGTACTCCGGTTTCCTCCCACAGACCAAAAACATGACTGTTAGGTTAAATTCTAAATTGTGAGTGTGGATGGTTGTTGATCTTTATGTGACACTGTGATGGACTTGCAATCTGTCCAGGGTGCACACCACCCCTCACACATTGACTATTGGATATGGGCACCATAGCCTTGTCTGCTCAGAGATTATGAAAATATCAAATTATTGTTTGTATATAAAAATTACCGAAACAAGTCCGCTTTGTATACTTTTCTTTTCCAAAAAACATTTGTAAATCAACCATCCAACCAGTTTCTCTTAGATGTTCTTAGATCTAGGCTAAAGTTTAGAGGTGATTGGGCGTTTGCAGTTTCTGCCCCAAACCTTTGGAATGGTTTACCTCTTAGTATTCGGTGTGCAGAGACTGTTGAGACTTTTAAACCTCTACTTAAATCTAACTTTTACTCCCTGGCCTTTCATTCTGGTAGACTTTGAGATTCTTTTAAAGATAATGTTTTTAATGTTTTTCTGTATTTTAAATTGATTTTATTGTCTACATTTATGTGTTGTTCTGTTGTTTTATTAATTCAACTTGATTGTGAGGCACTTTGGTCAACATTTGTTGTTTTCATTCATTTAGCTTAATCGTGAAGCACTTTGGCCAACTTTTGTTGTTTTTATGTGCTATATAAATAAATTGACATTGACAGTGACAAATATTCACTTATTTTTTATTATTTTGATGAATAAAGAAAGGTTGAACGCATCTTTGGGAAAGGTGAGGAGTAGCTCTGCTTGGTTTGTAAGTAAGAAAGAGGAGCTTTGGGGATTATAGGCTAGGAACCACTGAACAAACACCAAATAAAACTGTATTTCTTAGCACTAACAATTAAGATATTGTTCATCTGCTGTTCATAGATTGTTTCATGTTTTTTTTTATTGTTTTGTTTTTTGTCTTCCACTTGCCCACTTTCCTGGAAGCTAAGAAAAGGGCCATTCTGAGTTCAATAGTTTGGAAAGATAGGAACAGGGGAGATGAAATGTGATACAAAACTGTCCACTGTGTGCACTAAACCTTCAGCTCACTGAGACAGCAGACTGAAAATATAGAGCACGTACTACTCAAGACTGGATTGTTGCACCTTTTTTGGCTGTTGGCCAAAATGTTTGACTTCATAGAAGAATAATAGTTGAAGTCATGGTCACAAATGTTGATGCCGTAACAACAAAAAAACAAAACTCATTGTCAAATCCGACTATGTAAATATGCTGTAATGTTTGAAAACTATTGTATATTTTATACTGTATTTTTATGTCACAGAACATGAGTTTCCAATCAGTTTGTTTATATAAAAATATGAGAATTAATATGTTTCAGGTTTGATCAAATTCAACATTTCCGTATTTTATAAAGAAATATATGAGTCAATGTTCTGATGCTTGTGGTGTGTTTTGGGGTAAACTATCCAAGGTATTATATTAAAGTTGAAGAGCTTTGAAGCAAAGGGTTCTAACCAGATTTGACCCAAACAAAGAGGATGTCTTTAGCAACATGTAGTCTTTTTTTAGGTTTGATGTGAACCACAGAGGGGGGTTTCTGCACTTCCAGCACGTGAGCTGGTGTGTTTGCAAAGACTACTGTGTGGATTACAAACTGAGTGTCATTAGGAAACCTACACAAAGAAAGATTTTAACATGAATACAACTTTTGTATGTAGTTATAGTTTAGTTACTTCAAATTGCTGTTTGTGAAGGTTCGGCTCAATGAAAGACAAAACCCTTTATTGCTGATACCTCACTTCATTTTCCTCTTTAAGACCACAGCCAATGTGGTGCCTCAGAGCTAAAGACCTATTAAAGCAGCCATAGACTTTCATTTTTATTTTATTTTTTTTGTCCCACATGTCAGGAAGAGTAAAGCCTCATTATGAGACACATTTACTGAAACTAGAAAGTAAAGGAAAAAAGAAATGAAAAAAAAAAAAAAAAGAAAAAAGAAAAGAACTGCGGAATACCTTCCATTTTCTGGAACACCTGACCAGGTAACAGGGTGTTATTCTGCAAAGACCAACAAAATACATGTTAGAAAATGTTTCAATCTACATTAACGCCATTATTTGGACATACTGTAGCTTTTCAGAATCTGTTCAGCTCAGCTTTTTAAGAAGGAAGTTCCCTGAGTTAGGAAATGTCCGAGTCAGTTTCTTTGAAATCACTCTGAAAGGTAATGGAAAATATTTTACTTGACTCATTTTTTTTCTTACTTAAATAGACACATCTCTAAACGTGTTTCATTAGTTTTCCCATCAGGATTATTAATACTTTTGACCTTTTAACTTGTTCAACTTTAAATCTAAGCTTATAAAAAAGAAAAGTATGACAAGATGCACTTGCCTTCAGTGCATTATGATTTTCTTTTCTTTTCTTTTCTTTTCTTTTTTTTTGTTTGTTTGTTTTGGCTAGAAACAGCCACATGTAACATTTGCCTCTCCCCGGCCCAGTCTGCTTACTCTGGTGACTTTTGGTTTGGAGGTGGGGTCTTTGACGTATGGGTCAGGTTGTGCGGGCTGACGTTGGATTTTCCCCTCCAGCTCCAGCCCGCCGTTCAGCGTGGACTTCAGACAGCCCATCCTGCCTGCAGGAGGAAGTGAGAAAACGGAAGAATGAAGTGGTCTGTTGCACATTCACAGTTGCTGAAAACAACAAGCTTTGGCTTCAAACACCTGGGACTTTATAGCTCCTGCACTTAGGCATGTCTTAGTTTTTCTTTCAGATGGATTGCTTCTTGTTTTCTAGCTGCTAAAAAGCTGAAAAGGAAAGGCTATAAAAGAAGAAATACATTAATGTAGTGAAACAAAAAAGCTGGAAGCAAAAGGTGTGTTCAATAGCCTTGTCAGCTCATAAATAAATCTTGGTTGAATGGTTGTTTGAGCAGCAGTTTTTTGCATTTTAAGGGTAAAACTTTCTGTTGAAATCCACAACCCAACATCCTTCTGAACAGTGGTTTCACCCACAGATTGGGCCTGAGTCTGCTGACATCAGCCGACACCGCTCAGGGACAAAAAACAGAAATCTGCAGACAGCACAAATGGAGGGACATGTCACCAGCAGCAGGCTGCAGATAGATAAACTGAGTTTGGTGTGAGAAGAATCTTTTTCCCCAACAGCAGACACACCACATGAAGCAGTTTGGATTTCAAGACGCTCTCAACCTTCTTAATGTTGCTGTGTGTGTTTAAGTGTGTGCATCGTTAGTAAAAAAATTTTCACAAACCACTCAATAGATGTCACGGAAACATTTAAAAACWAATAACTGGAACAACAATTATAACYGCTGATCATTTGGAGTTAACAATTCAAGATGGCTGCCACAGCCTAAAATAATAATAATAAWAAAAACTGCTCTGTGTATTTTACAGCAACTGAGCTAAAACTTGTTGTGTAAGTATATGGTCCAAGCATTAACATGTGTAACATCGTGAGAAACTGCAAGACTGCATGGAATTGTTCAGTGTTTTATTTTTCTTCTAAGCAAAACAGACCTCTGTCATTCACTAACATAAGCTGATCTTTAGTCTGAAACTCTGCTTTGAAAGGCGGTGGGCGACATCCTTTCCATCAATAAGAGGTTTTCCAAGATGTGAAGGATGGTTCCATAAGTACACTTGAAATGATTCAGTCTGTTTTTCCTAAAAGATGAATGCAAAAACAAGAACTTTTATTTCCTTCTCCGTGTATTCAGTGAAGAGTAGAGCGCTCTGACTTCTTCCACCACAGTTATACAAGCTGCAGAGCAACAATAAATGCTCTAAACTCAAAGGTCCTCAGCTGCCAAACTGACAACCCAGTAAATTATGTGAAAGATTACAGCATCTTTAGAAGGATATTTTGACCAATGGTACATTTTTGCCCACTTTTGTACCCTAAAAATGTTCCCTTATTCAAAGAACTGCTTGAAAATGAGAGACAGATTCAGATTTCACTGCAAAAACTGTTCATCTAACCAAGTTTTAAAACCTTATATCCAGCCAAAAAGTCTTTTTGATCTTGTTTTGAGACTGATTTACTAAAGAACTGATTTTGTAAAAATTACAATCTTGTTTTCAGAATGTGTAAGATTATTTGTCTTGTTAGTATGAAAATTTGACTCAAATTAAGTGAAAACTTTCTGCCAATGGAGTAAAAAAATTGACTTAGTAAGATTTGAAATAAGAAAAAAATTGAGTCAAATCAAGTCTTTGAAGAATCTTACCAAATAATTTTTCTTACTCTATTGGCAGAAATTTTTCACTTAATTTGAGTCAAATTTTCAGACTAACAAGACAAATAACACGTTCTCAAAACAAGATTATTATCTTTACACAATCAGTTCTTGTTTAGTAAATCAGTCTCAAAACAAGATCAAAAACACTTTTTGGCTGGATATAAGGTTTTAAAACTTGGTTAGGTGGACATTTTTTGCAGTGTACACAGTTAATTGAAAATGAATAAGGCCTTGCACTCCCTTTCAGCTGGACCAATACTGACCTATATTTAGTCATTGAGGTATTTAACCCAGAACAGGGAAATCAAAAAGTTTCTTATTCACAATCTTCTGATCAAACCACTCCCTCTGGGGCAAAAGGCATCACTGATGTAGAAGGCCCTTCCTGCCAAGAAGTTTGGTCTTAGTTGTGAAATCTGATGGAATGACTGTTGTGTTAGTTTAAGTCATATTTCAACTTATCTGTCCCTTTAAAAATGATGGATCGTACTGAGATGACCCATATGACGAGTCACTCAGAACAAAGCACACACTATAGTCAGGGCTTAATCACAGTACATAAGAAATGTGATTATAAAAATGGTTCAGGCATCTCAACGAAGAACAAGAATGTGTAGTGCATTTAAGAATCTGTATTAAACACACTAGAGTACAAACAGGTGGACAAAACAAGAATTAAAGAATTCAAGAAAACTTTATTGTCATTTCATCACATTTTACACGAGGTGGAACAAAATTACATAAACACCATCTTGGTTAATTCCAAAGGCCATGAAAAGAAAATTATAAAAAGTGGCAACAAGATGAGCTGCAGTAACATTGTTCAATAAAGCAGCCTGGATGGTTACAATAGCAGCAATATGGAAAGTTACCAGGCGTTGGTAAAGTGTACCTTTGTTTCTAACAGTGTTAATGATAAATAAAAAAAAAAAAACTTGCAAAGAACTAAAAGACATAAACTCGTGTGAACTGAGACATAAATCTTGACAATATAAAATAAAAAAGTGGTGAAAGATCACAGAAAGGAGATGGAAGATATGAGATAGCTGATGAGAGAGCAACAGCTTGCTGCACATCTTTAATATTTTAAACTCATTTTTGTACGAATGTGTATATAAATACTTTTAAAAACAACATGATGCTAAACCTTTTGATCAGACTGTGACCATATTTCCTCATTTGTGTGTTAATGACTATTTCTATTGTCCTAACCATTACGATTACACAAATCAGAACATTATTATTTGGTTCTTTGCATATTAAAACTGGATGGACAATAAAAGGTTGTTGCACTTTATAATCCACCTGCTCTCAGATTTACAGGTGCTGTAAAAATCAGAGACGGACATTTCTGTAGWGAGCCTGATTCAGCTTCCGTGTTATTATCAAGTTCAAACACGAGGGTCTGTTCAGCTGATGTGTTAAGAGGTGGTATATGTGTGTGTATTCATAGTTGATTCTAATAAATCAAATTAAAGTTGGGATGAAATCATCAGTCACCTTTCAAGCAAGAAAATCCTCTCATGATGACGATGGGGTGGTGGACATTTTGCTTAAACCGTGTAAAAGAGATGAAAATCYATCCAGTGGCTAATCAGATATTTTACTAACACAACAGACTAAAYAACAGTTACCTGCTATTGTGCTGAAATCTGATCCCCTTAAATCTGCCCCTGATCTTTCAGCTAACTTAAGTGAAACAAACCAACACTTTCAACTTCTCTTTWTTTCTCCGTTTCTGCAGTTCTCACGCTGTCTTTTCAGCACTTCTCCCTAAGCTGATGGCTACAGTTTAGTTTTACAAGAAATCATGAAACATCAATTGAAATAGCAATACAATGTGTCATGATGCAAGTCACAACCACATTTCTTTTTTCTTAATCATCAAAAACAGGCACCAGGCAACAGAAAAGCAAGTGATGACAAATTTCTCTTTGAAATTCTACTATCCTATTTGGTTTTAGAGCTCAGTGAACAAAAAGTCAATTAAATTAAAAAATAATTTTAATAATTTGTAATGCATCCACAGTACAATTTCCTGGAGAGATTAATACATATGACATCATGCATGTGAATGTGGTTTGTTTAATTATAGACTACTAAAAACAGATCTGTTACTTTTGTTTTCCATCAACAAATTTTTTTATTTGTTATGACCATTCCAAAGTCACTTCTCATATAAACATCAGAATATCCTAAACATCAGCAACCCACATGTGAGTTCTGGTGCTTTGCATATTTGTAGGGGTCATATATTGTATGTTACCACAATGCAGTATCTAGTTTGTTTCGTGCTAATAAAATGTCTCTTGAATCAAAATTTTAAAAACAATTTCAGTCATCAGATGTACCCCTACCTACCTACCTACCTACCTACCTACCTACCTACCTACCTACCTACCTACCTACCTACCTACCTACCTACCTACCTACCTACCTGCCTGCCGGCCTGCCGGCCGACCGACCGACCGACCGACCTACCTACCTACGCAGCTCAGCTCAATTCTAGTTTCCCTTCACTGCTCCGTCTGGGATTTCTCCCATTGACAGGGATTTCGCTGACAGATTTTTGTCCGGGCCAATCAGAGAACAGAACGTCAATTTTCTGCACAGTGTTTGCTTGTAGTTTATTTTACCTGGGCCAATCAGCAAACAGAAGGAGGAGCTTTGAACAACGTCGACTTTCTGCGCAGTGTCTGCTAGTTATTTTAGCATAAGGCAGTGGGGGAAGTGAATGAAGCCAGTCTGTGTTGATAAGGCTTCCAAATTAAATTAAATTTGTCTGACAAAGCARCAGCTCTCATTTACAGTCGTCTCGTTTGACCTGTAATTCTCTCCTCTCAGTAGGGTTGTTTACAGCACACGCGATTTCCGGTTAGCTTCTTAGCTTAGCCTCCGTCACAGTGACATATGTCGCAGCCAACTGATCCAATCATTTTAAACTTCAGCAGAGGCCACGTCTCCTGCAGGAAATCGATTCTCTATGCATCAAGTCCAGACCCTTGTACGAAGCAAAGTGAAAGACAGGGTCTGGTTTAAACCAGGCTAATCTATCTATATAGATGGACAGAGATTTTTAGAAATACAAACCAATAAAGTTAGTTATCTCTAAGCATTGGATGCAGTAGAAACATGTTCACTATTAATGGTTGAACAGTTCCATGTGTTTGACTGAATAACTGACAAACCAAAAGAAGGGAAAATAAATAGTTTTTCTTAACTTTTTATGCACATATTGGATTAAGAGCTCAGGGCTGGTCAGGAAACTTAGACTTTTGGACTCAGACTTCTGAATTTACAAGGCTGATCCAGCTGATTTTTCTGACTTGGAAATTCAGAGTACAAATAAAATGCGCCAATAAACCATGTGTTGTTTTCCAACAACAGGTAAGATATTTACTGTTCACAACCTTCAAAATAACGGCTCAATCGCTTTAAGGCTGTAACATCACCTTCAGCTCCTCCTGAGAATAAGCTCAGTGATGTTTCCTGCAACATATTTACGTTTCCTGCACCGCAAAAACTGTCCATCTTACCAAGTTTTAAAATCTTATATCAGCCAAAAAGTCTTTTTGATCTTGTTTTGAGACTGATTTACTAAACAAGAACTGATTGTGTAAGAATAATAATCTTGTTTTCAGAATGTGTAAGATTAGATTGGAGTAAGAAAATTTTACTTGGTAAGATTC